AGCTGTGGATCAGAAAAACAATCAGGATGTTTTGGTGGAATCCAGATATGGCATAAACAAGGGCATGGGTCAAATATTTACAGTAAAGTTTCATCTAGCTCAATGTCCTTGAATAACATTACAATGATTGGTACTAATCTTTACCAGTATACTCCTCAGACTCCACTGCAGTTCAGAAAAGGAGACGTATTTGGTGCATATATTCCTGACACAAGTTTAAGTCCATTTGTGTTTTACGAACAAAGACAGAGCGGACCAACTAATGTGTTTGTATATTCTGATAATGCACTATCAGTTATAGCAGAAGAATCACTGGACTTAAATGCTAATAATTTTCCACTGGTTGCAGCAGAAATCAGTAAGTAGATATGTGCTAATGTGTGATTAGGAGAGCATGATGTGCTCCTGGTGTAATTTTTTTGCACATTCCTCCAAGAGTTCATGTACTTTTAATTCCTCCATAGGGGTTTCCACTAATTCAATTAGCAACAGTATTACTGTTAATTCCTCCATAGGGGTTTCCACTAATTCAATTAGCAACAGTATTACTGTTAATTCCTCCATAGGGGTTTCCACTAATTCAATTAGCAACAGTATTATTAGATCTACAACCATAAACAGCATGCAGCCTGTTCTTGGAACCACTTCTATATCTACTGGTAAATTATTGACGCCACTGAATATTAAATATTATTGATCATATATTATAGCCATTTTAGCCTCTTCCAAAGCTAGCGCTACACCTGTAATATCAGTAACACCTATCAGTAAATCATCAGTAACAACTACTGGTGAATCATCGGTAACAACTAGTTATGAATCTAATGTAACTGTTTTTGTTACAACAACAGGTAGGCCAGCATAATCTATAATAATTATGCATCTTTCATTTTTCCATAGCTACACCACTCTCTCCTACATCTCAATCAACAGTGTTAGCTTTAATTATTGGAGTGATAGCGGTCATAGTATGCACTGTGTTTATCGTAATATCATTAATAATAGTGACGTGCATTTGTTTGAAGAGGAAATCACCAGCTAATATTAGATCATCTGCAATCCTTTCCCCCATTCCTAACACTACTAAAGATGGCAACACAGATAACAACAGCTCATTTCCTAAAGAAAATAATGATATCATTAAGAATGGTGATTCTAGCATCATTGCCATAAATGACCCAGTGTATGAATCTATTATAAATAATATGGCATATGAACCTAATATTATTACT